CAAACACACAAAAATTAACCAACATTGTCAATATTTTTAAAAGTTAATTATAAAAAAATTGGAAGTAAACAAAATTCACACACTAATTTACTAAACAAATTATAGAAAAAATGATAATTTGTATCGAAATTGCACTATGGGTTCCATCTTATAAGAGTTCTAATACGTAGTATTTATTTTAAAAGATCCAATTTTTATATATTATTTCAGTCGTATCAATCTCTCTAAGTATAATATAAAGATAAACTTTTATGAATGAACATTAAATTTGAATTCAAAATAAAACAAAAAATAATATTTGAATTTCGAATCAATATGTTGGTCCTTACGGACTTTTATAATATCCCGTGGATACGAAATGCGTAGAGTAATGATGCATTAAAATTGCATTTCGCATTTGTATTTTATATTAATTTATTTATTACTTTTTTCATTTGAATTTATTTGTCCTATTTTAATTTGACATGAAATTAAGAAAATAAAAAAGTTTTTTTTTAATCTTGTGATGTTAAATAAAACATATGTCAAATATACTAAATGCCTTTTAATTTTGTATCTTAAACATGTCATGTGGAAAATTAAAATTTAAAAATTGCTAAAAAGGAAAAAAAGAGATATTCTTTTAAACAAACTAATTTTTTTTAGGACAAATAGGTTGAAACAAATGAAGTATTTGATTTTTGTCCAAAGTAAAATAAACAAAAATAAAGATTTACCTTGATAATAGTTCAACGAAATACATTGTAAAACTAAAAGTATAGCTTATCATAGCACGCTCTCTCTCTCTATATATATATCGATGTTGTGAAATAGAATTGATATTACTAACTTAAAATTTTTTAGTAAATAATTATAATTGAAAGAACTTTGGACAAGTGCTTTTAAATGATTTAAATTGTCTTAGAGTTAATTTTTTTTTAGACCAAATGACCTTATATCATTGAAACATTTCAAAATACATTCAAAATTTAAATATGGGGTGAAAGTGATATTTCTTTAATTTAGTAGTAATATTTTGTTACTTTACTTTATTTGTAAACAAATTTAACCAACAAAATAGAAAAAAACTTATCAAATATAAAAAAGGCACCAATAGTCTTTCCTCTTGAGGTTATGACCATAAGTGATGGACATCATTCATGTGCAATTTTTCTCTTAAATATTCATACTTGAAATTTAGTATGTGCATGACACTAATAACGAATACCATAAATATTTTAAGTATCTTACTTATGTTTTAAGATGATGTTCACTTGAATTGATCATATTTTATGGCATATGTTTTCTAACTCTCGAGACTTATGTTTTAGCTTGATCATTGCATACTCATGAAAATGTCCCTTTTTAGCATGATCTAAATATTTTATGCATGGCTATCATTCTTGGTACATATTTTGTACTAACGCATACTCTTGCCTACATTTCCCCAAATGTAGGGTCAGACAATCAGGGTTCCCAGTTTTGTGGCTAAAGGTCGTTGACGAGATTTCCGAGCTTTGGTGAGTCCTCATGCTTCGAGGACGGACTTTCATTGCTTTCAGTTTTCTCTTATATTTCCAGTTTTGAAACATGATGTATGGGCTACGCCCAAATTCACTCTTATGTACTAGATGACTTTGAGACAATGTGTTAGACTTTCGCTTTACTTTGATAAACTTTTAGTCTTGAAATGTTTCTCTTTTATCTCTTTTGCTCTATTTCTTGTATGATGAATGCTATGTGGCTTGTATGGGGCTTCTCGTGATCCTATACGCCATGTTACGCCCAGGGGACACCTTGGGTCGTGACAACAAATAATAGAAGAATCATAATAGGGGTTCGGGGGAAGGGAATAAGATTCAGGACAACCATTCCAATGAACATATTGATGACCACATATATGAAATAAAGGACACTCGATATCCAAGTGGTGTCCATTACAATAATTACAAAGATATAAGAATACTCATCACCCAACCACGATTTATCCCAATCATCCATATCAATTACAATATCAAATGATTCAAAGAAATAATAACAATTAATTGTTCAGGAAAAAAATTAATTAAAAAAAACAAAAAAACAAATAAATAAAAAGAAAAAGTATAACCTAGAAGAATAGTTAATTTCTAAGTCCCCGACAGCGGCGCCAAAAACTTATTGCTCCCAGTTGCACACACAGGTGTACGTGGTCGCGCAAGTAATATAGTGGCTCTTAAAAGAACCGAATTATCAAACCTAAAGGACTTGTGAATTAATTATTTACTAAATTATACTAGTCTAATTATTTATCTAAGAGTGCCAAAAGTGTTTAATTTTTATTTGTAAAGAAAACAATTCAGGAATTAAATAATAAAATTACTTACAATGGTTGGAAAATTCCACGGCTGCAACATGCTTAAGTATTCATGTATCACATCTCATGCAAAAATTAACTACGGTTATCAAATTATTGATTTACAGGGTTGATTTTATGATCATGGTCTCCCGACCTTGAATCGTCTACTCCAATTAGCTGTCTAACTACATCGTTGAGTGGGGATACGCAGTCCTAATTGGCGAGCATTTATATTTCATTATGTTTTTAATCAAGCTAGGTGTTTGTCTGGGCGTCACTCCTAAACACAAATCAAATTAATTTAATGAAAGATCAAGCTTTTTGTATCCTTTGGTCTATCTATCTTATCGTCCCTCGAATTCAAGAATAGACAATATATTTATCTCTGTGGTGATCAAGTATGAAATAGTAACACAACAATACAAAAGTAATTTAAAGTGATAACCAACATTAATTCAAAACAATCGATTTTAAACAGTTACTCATAGCTTCTACAGCCCCAAAACAAGGGTCTTTAACTACTAATGTCTAAGAAAAGAAGAAGAAAAGAATCCTAAAAAATATTGACAACATTATACTTGATGCCCTATAATATCAGTCTAATAATTATTCTCATGAGCTATTTATAGAGATAGAAACCCTAAATAAAATAACTGATCCCAAATTAAATCAAGAACACAAAACCAAAACAGAGTTGGAATTGTTGTACGCGTGAAACAGTCACCGCCTCAAACTTCCGTGCTTCCTCTTGCTGCCACGTCATAGTTTCTCAGGTACGTTTTCTTTGTTTTCTTTGTTTTCTATTATGTTTGATTATATATATAAGGGAATATAATATAATATTCAATTTAATCCATTAAGTTATCTTCTTGATTTCCTTCTTCAATCTTTCATTTTTAATCTGTTTTAGCTTCAAATTTCATCTTTATATCAATTTTCTCCTACAATTAAAATACACTATTTATCACAATTCATAAAATTAATGCTCATAAAGGAAAAATACAAATAATAAATATGAGATAAATAATGATAAGAAAATATATTTTTGGCCTCACATCAATAGTTTATAGATATTATCCTATTTCCGTTTCTCATTAGACTCACTCATATGAATCTTGTAAAGCTTCATAGATTAGATTTTGATGTTATTCTTG